TAGGGGCTCCTGGCATCGCTACTAGGAGCAAGGACGCTACTAGGGGCGCTCCTGGCAGACATGGTGGTGTCCCTTTGAACCCTTTGGACGCCTTGGACCCATCCCGTTGCATCAGGCGAGATGGGAGGGCGTGAAGACTTCCAAGGAGCGGAACAACGAGCGTCAGAGACCATCGGCCTAGTCTAATTCTAGTAGTAACAAGTGCCTTACTACTAGTAACAATAAGAATTTAATTAGAATTGTAATTACTAGCTTCTTGTTACTACCAGTAAGGCACTGGTTACTACTAGCGAGGCACTTCTTCCTACTAGCAAGGGAATCTACTAGGACCTTTTCGCGCGCGCGGGGGGGGTAGGAAGCTAATAGCTTCTTGCTCCTGGTAGTACGGCCAGGAGCCCCTAGTAGTTTCTTGCTACTAATAGCGATGCCCTTTGCTCTGGAAACAGCTTTCTGGGGAACTGGGGAACTGACCCAAGGCGCTCGTGTGGTACAGCTAGAAAATGCCGTTGACTATTGGTTCACAGTAACTACTTTCTTGCAACGTACCAAAATAGGAAACTCTGTCTTAAAAGAACTTTGGAAACGTTGTTCTTTCATTTGGTAATTGGAAAGTATCCCATGTAACTCGAAGAGTCCACACTCAGCCGCACGGTGATGGGAGGACTACTATGCTGAGCCGCCTGGATGAAAGTCATCGGCTGCATGTAAAAAGCCAAGACAAATAAACAATAGGGACCCACGGGATCCAAGAGAAGCTTTGAGAAGCTTATATAGAAGCTTTGAGAAGACCTCTTTGCACTCATCGAAATCGACGAACGCACCTCTAGCTTGGTGTTTGGGTAAACTGCTTGATATGTTGAACCGTTCAACCCCGCTTAAATACTTTGTGGACACCTTTCAGAGCTCAAGTTCGTTGTTGACCAACCTCCTTTGTGAACTGCTATCTGCGAACTGTTGCCAACATGATAGATGCCAAGAAGTGATCAATCTTCATGAATGAACAAGCATCAGGATGTTGCCACTCAAAATCCTCCAAATCACTGTACTGATATACCGTTGGTGTGGACTCCTGAAGTGCCAAGAGAAAGAAGGGTTCAAGCAAAGGTCCCAGGCTGATGGAGTCTACCAGCCTACCTTAAGAGGTCGCATGCAGGAGCCCCGTTCGTAGTGTCCGATCGCTCCTAGTAGTGATGCCCCTTTGCTCCTAGTCGCTTCTTGTTCCTAGTAGTAAGAATGCTCGTACTAGCGATGCCAGGAGCCCCTAGTAGCTTCTTTGCTCCTAGTAGTAAGGCCAGGAGCCCCTAGTAGCGTCCTTGCTCAAATCCGTGACATTCGTGAAGTGAACTGTCATGGCGTTGTGACGACTGTCCTCGCTTTCTGTTTCCGCCCACTTCGTGTGGTCATAAGGCATCCAGTGCTTTGTCCCGACATCCCCGTCTTGGGCCACAACAAGCACGTCAGCGAGGTGCTGCGATACAGCGACAGTCTGTGCATGGCACATAGCACAGCGTATTGTGCCTAATAGCTTCTTGTTACTACTAGTAAGGCACTTGTTACTAGTAGCGATGCACTTGTTCCTAGTAACTTATTGTTCCTAATGCGCATGGCATAGGGTGGATAGTTGTAGAATCTGAAGCTACAGTATACGGCAGTCGAAGAAGGTGGTTTTGTTCTTGAATGGTTAGCAAGCGCAAGAGGCGGTCCTACACGGTTATGTCCAAGACTTAAGCTTGTACGCCAACGCGGCATTTTTGTCAACAGAGATGGTTTCAGGGGTGATAAGAAAAACGATTTGTATGACTGGACACGCCGCTTGGACTATGTTTGGGGGTTGTTCCCTTAGCTGGTAACAATAAGCTACTAGGAACAAGTGCATCGCTACTAGTAACAAGTGCCTTACTAGTAGTAACGAGAAGCTATTAGCTTATTGTTTCTAATGGCTTTTTGTTACTAGTATAGTAAGGCACTTGTTACTACTAGCGAGGCACTTGTTACTACTAGTAACAAGGACACTACTAGTTTGTAAGTGTTGACACTCCGACTTGTGCTGATCAAGATTGTGCAGGACATTGATTTTCCAAAGATGAGTGTGTCGAGCGTCAACAGGAGGTCAGGAGGGCGATATATTAATTATTGTTGCTAATCGCTTCTTGTTACTGCTAGTAAGGCACTTGGTCTGCCCACGTTTTCAGGATTGCCTGCAGCTCCATGTGTATGCACCTCAACGGCCTGTCAGGGGCGCCCAGATTTGGAAGTTGCAGGTGGAATTTACCAAAAAAGGGGTGGTGGTAGTTGAAGAGTAAGACTGTTTGATGTTGTTTGATTTTTGAGTCTGCTGTTGTGTTTGTTCGCATGTTGATTCTGTTTGCTGTGCTTGGCAGTCTCGATATAGGGAGTGTTATTTTTGCTCAGCTTCTATTGCGATGGTGGGAGTTGGATTTTGGCTATTCGCTTGACTGACTTTACTACATCAGTCAGTTGACCTGGGCACTTTATGGACTAAGTGACAAGGGCATCGCTACTAGTAACAAGGGCAATACTACTAGGAGAAGGACGCTACTAGTAGCTCCTGGCATCGCTACTAGTAACACCGAGAAACACGAAAGCAAGGTAAGAAGTTGAGCTCCAGACATCTTGTTCTCACCGGGCTCATTGACGATAAATGTGGTGACAAAAAGATCGATGTGGTTTGGTTCCTGAACTCTTCAACAACTGCGTTGTGCAAAGCCTGAGGTGCTTTTTCAAAACAACCCACGTCCATGAAGTGTTCGGTTTGCGAAAACTGGATGACCTGAAATCGTCGTCTCCTACCCCTTCCAGACCGGCTCGCCGGAAGTAGACATCACCACAGTGACTAACTAGATTCCTGAGCAAACTACACCCAAACGTCTAAAGAAAGCAAGAAAGGAAAAAGAGAAGAACAAAGAGAGAAAACCCAGTCGCCACCCCTGATTATTGCATACTACCTCGCTTACAACCTTTCTACCCCCTCTTTGCGCTTTCAGATCCAATAGACCTCGACTCCAGGCCAAACTCCGCCCGGTCTTCGTCTTCCTGATCCCAGGCCCTCTCGGCACACAATTAGCGTGTGGACCGTGTTGGGAATGAAACAATGGTCTAAAGACCAAAAAGGGGGGTTTCGTTGAGGGTTGGAAGCACTATACATGTTTTGGTGAACTCCATGAACTCCAGATTTTCCATCACCTGCATTTGGTTTCTCAGACTCGAAGCACAGTAAAGAAGACGAAGTTGTCATTGTTGTAATATTTTTTGTCGTCGTCGTCGTCGTTGTTGTTGTTCCAAGAAACTTCCTCAAGGCTACACAAAAGACACCTCAGACATCGGCGTGGCGACACAGAATTTGCCCAGCAAAAGTAGGGGCCAACAAGTTTATCGCGCTCACCGTGCTGGCTTGGGATCTTTAGACACCCAATGTGCACCCCTCCCGTAGCATGCGTCTTTAATTATGGAAAATGAGGTGTGTCTTTGAAATACCCGGGTGGAAACTCCGATCGAGAAGCGACCTGCAAGCTTTGCCAGCTCGTCCCCCTGAGTCTCACAGCCAGAAGAACCTCGCCAGAGGGACTCGCGGCTGTGGAGCGAACAAGAGCTCGAGAACCTTTAGGATGTGTGTAGCAAAGACTTTGGGTTGAGTCTTTTGAGTGACAACAACTCGATGAAATCCAAGTGTTCCGGAGATCAGTTGAGACCAGGTCAACACACGTGTTCCAGCTTGTTTGTTCAGTCAAAGACGAAACCTTTCCGGCGAATCAATGGGTCATTTGGCCTCTCGTGACAGGATTTAAATGGTTTCGCTGACGCGGCTAGGGCGAAACGCAGGGATGGTGCATCAGAGCCTGAAGAATAGTTCCCAGCACCCAAACATCGCAGCTACTAGGAGCGATCGGACGCTACTAGTCACAAAGGGCATCGCTACTAGTAACAAGTGCCTTACTAGTAGTAACAAGAAGCTATTAGAAACAATAAGCTACTAGTAACAAAGGGCATCGCTACTAGTTGCAAGGACGCTATCCGGACGTTCCGTAAAGACGCCGCCAGAGCGTTTTCCGCCAAGGCGGCTTCACTGGCACCAACTGGTTTCAAGGAAGTTGGTCACTTGGTCAAAGTGGAAAGCTTGAGGACCAGTGGCTAGTCCTGGGGGTCCAAGAGTGGACAAGTGACTAGATACTGTTGATGGTTATCCCTCTTGCGCTTGACCCTGCCCCTACTATTATATAGTTCTCCAAAGGCACGCACCATCGGAGCAAGTTGGCTTCATCACAGGTCGGGAAGCGAGATACAAAAGTCTCCTTTAGGTGCCAAACACAAAGAGAATTCCTTGGCTTCCTCATTCCTCATCACATGCAAACAGACCTTACTTCTAATATTGACAATGTTTGCTGGATGCATTTCCATGTGGTTGTTTGTATGTATATGTCTTCGCTTGTCCACGTTTCTACATTCCGAGAGTGGATGACCCATCTCGCTGCAAGGTATGACGCTGCGCGCTTCGTGGCTTCTCAGCTCCAATTGCCGAGGGAAAAAATTGGGAGAGGACAAAAGCAGCTTCTTGTCACTAGTAGCAGTAAGAATGCTCCTAGTAGCGATGCCAGGAGCCCCTAGTAGCGTCTTTGCTCCTAGTAGTAAGGCCAGGAGCCCCTAGTAGTTTCTAGTCTCCCTTGGTTGTGTTTTTTCGCCATCAGAAGAACAGAGGCTTAGCGGGAGTTCTGTTGAACGCTGCGTCGGTCACCCTGATGTTGCCTGATGGTGGTTAACTCCAACCTGTATTGTCATAGACGGTGAAAGAGATGCACAAATTGGTGAAGAAACTGTGAAGCTAATATCAAGCCACATGTGACGGTTTGCTGAAGACACACTTGGTCCAAATCAAGAACAGAAGTGGCAAAATGTCAGTGGACCAGATCATCAGCTTCTCCGGCCTCGTTTCAATGACTCCTTGAGCCAGGCAAGAGAGGATCCATCACATGACTCACATGACTCATTGGTCCTCCGGAGCGTGGTATGAGGTCCGGAACGAGGCACTCTTCGTGAGTGTCGGCTACCGCAGTGGATATCTGGGACACTGGGCACACGAAGAGCTCGCGCGTGAGGCGGGATGGAGCTTCCTCGTTCGGGCACGCACACAACCTGGAAGTGCGGCAAGTGTTCAATCTTCAGCTTGTTGGATTCAAACGGTGTCTTTCCAACTCTTGGATCAGTGTCTCCTTTCTTCATTGAGCTTTGAAGGTGCCACAATATGGCGCGATGGGTCCCACGTCCACGAGCCTAACATGTAATTGCCTAAGATTACGAATCGTGGGCTGAGCTCCATTCAATACGTACAGGCATCACGTGAGTTCCCACATGTCCAGTTGTTCATATGTTCGTCGTTTTGTCACGTTAAGTCCTTTTTGTTGCAGGTCCAAACGGGTCGCACAGTCCTCAAGCGAAGTCCAGCTTGGTGTCTGAGCCCTTTCGACCACACATGTTGTCGAGAGGCTGGGGATGGTGCCATGGGGAACTATGAAGCCATGGATCAACGCCTGGCTTTGCAATGGTTCCGTGGCAAAACAGCTGGTGAGGTGGATTGGATTGGATGGCATGAAAATGAGACCCAGACCTGCCAAATTGATCAGTCAGATGATGTCGATGTTCCTGGATTCGTGGATGAGTGACCGGTAGCCCTAACAGGAGAACAGCCGGAGGATGTTGAGAGTTGAGAGTCCAGTCTTCGGGTTGGTAGACTAGGTCTTCAGCGGTCAGCGAAAGAAATAACCTGAAGCTGTTTGTGCCGATCTTTGAAAGAATCGAGAAAAACTGATGTGGTTTAAGCTCAGTGCCAGATCTGTGTGTGGATCCTGCTCGCATGGAGGGTCCAACGGAACATCGAGACCTTCGGCGGAGACCCAGGCGCCGTGATGCGATGGAGAGCGATGCTGTTTGGAAGCGAAGCAAGAGTTCGGGTAGAATAGAGCTCCTAGAAGCATCCTTGCTCCTAGTAGCGATGCCAGGAGCCCCTAGTAGCGTCCTTGTTCCTAGTAGCTTTAAAGATGTGTTTTTACATAATCTAGATAAAGAACCGCTTCTTCTTTTTCAGAATTCTAGACCCTGGATGCCCTCGATGTTGGGAATGTTTCTGGTGACGTGTGGTCGACTAAATGTGATTACATGATTCCTGCCGCTTTTTGTTGTCTTCCGCTTCCACGAGGGCGCGTGACCTTGGTGGGCCATTCCTCAGGCGCCTTCTCGGTGCAGCCACTTGGGCCAAGCGAGTTCATTGTTGCAAAGATTTGTTGTTTTTTCACGTTGTCTTTCTCTCCTTTGCTACCTTTCTGTAGTAAAGGCGAACTCCAAGACCCTCCGAGACCTAGTGACCTGGTCGTAAGATGGAGAAACGATAAGGAAGACAGATGCGATGAAAACTTTGGTCAATTCTTGCCGCTGAAGAGTGAGGTCCAATAGGGACATGGGCCTGACATGGGGTCCTCTAAGTGCACTTGTTTGCGGATTTGTCGTTCGACCGTTCAATGTGTATTCTCTGTTTCACAGCACTTCCAAATCCGGAAAGTGCAGAAATGTAATTTCAGACACCAAATCTGCACGATGAACTCTTTTTGGCATCAAGCCAGAGCTCTTCTGCATCCAAGCTTAGTAGCGGCCAGCTTTATGGCCAGCTACTACGCTTACCCCTAGCTAGCTACTTACTTAAGCTAGCTACTTCACGGCCTAATTACCAAAAAGAATAATACTTCACTCATCTTCCCTTCGTTTTTGTTTGAGATTCATCCAGGTTCCACCTGCTGAGTCCTGCGAGCCGCGGCCTGTTCGCGCATGGCATCCTCGAAGGCACTGCACTGGCCGCTCGGAGGGCAATCAAAAGAACGAAGGACAACACCGCTCTTTCATCAGTCTTCTTCAATCTTCGTAGTTCAATGTGCTTTCATGTTTTCGGTTTTCCCTTTTCTAGACGAGATGTGTCTTCCTTTTCATACTTGTGGGGGAAGAAACAAGGGGGCAGGGTTGGGAGATGGATAGTTGTTTGGGATTGGGATGGTTTCGAGTTCTGTGTGGAGAATCTGCCGAAACATGGTGATTGTGATTGTGGGGAGTAAGGGTACGTTAGATGTTGGAGACACATCCTCTCAGGCAGTCTGTGTAGGCCGTAGGCACCCTGCTATGAAGAAGTAGCACAACTGTTAACAATTGAGAAAGTAGTTGTGGGGCCTGTCCTTTTGGTTCCATGAAGGCAGTGAAAGCAAGACGGAAGCAGCATGTTTGAAGCGGTTGTTCAAACTTGCAACAATGAAACGAACAAACATGAAAAAACTGTTTCACAAATTCGTCTAAATTCTGGACAAGTGGCAACGATCCATCCCAGGACACTGGTTGGTACTACGCCGCAAAGGACACCGACTTGGGCGGAATGGGTCTTTCCAAGAACTGCTTAGACACCTCTCCGGACAGGGCGGTTCTTAGGATGAAGCGGTGGTTGATGGGTTCCAGCCCTGAAGATGCATGAAGAGCCATCCACTGAAAGTTTGAAGAGCCAAGCCCCTCTCCATTCCAACAAGTTGTTGAAAAAGTTCTCTCGAAGTGTTCCCCGTTCGATCTGCCAGGAGGACGCCTTGAGCTTCTACGACACTTTGACGAGGAAGCTCAATTGCCACGGCACCGGTGCCGAACAGGTGGCCTGCTTACGGGCGCTGCCCCATGAGGCACAAGCGGTGTGTTTCTCTTGTCCAAAGGGTCTTCTTCTGTTTTGGGGCACATATAGAAAAGGAAAGGAAAGAAAGGGTTCAAATCTTCAAAGAAAAAATAGTGAGGCATAGGGCGGTGCCAAGCATGCTCCTTTTGTGGTTCTTTGTACATAAAGAGAAAGGAAAGACAAGGTCAAACGAAGCAACCGCAGCTACAGCGCAGCACATCAGTGTCGACAAAAATATCCGGCAAGGCCTTCTACCAACTCGCAGAGGATCAAGTGAGCCAGGCCATTGGCGACGGGTCCTTTAGAAAATGAAAGAAATCGATTTGAATGGACATCTAGTGTCCTTTCGTGTGTTTGTCATTGATTAATATGGTTTTAGTGTCTAGAAATGTATTTTAAGCTACTCTTTCTTCTCGTGTTTCTTGTATGTCTCTGACTTGAACCTAGCAGGGTTGTAATCCGAACCATCACCTCCATCCTTATGTGGTGACTTGGACGTTGCTGGAGGACATGGCGAAGCTGAAGGCTCTGGGGAAGTGGGGCCTGGCACAAGCGGCGGCGGAGGCTGCGTGGTCGGCCCTGGGCTTCAAGGCCGGTGTCCGGGCGGGTGGTAGGTGCTCCTGGCCTCGCTACTAGGAGCGATCGGACGCTTCTAGGGGCTCCTGGCCTTACTACTAGGAGCACTGTTTGCTACTAGGAGCAAGAAGCTACTAGGAGGAAGTGGTCAAGTGCGTCAAGTGGTTGCGATCTGAAAGGGGTGAGTAGCCAGAGCATCCAGGCTGTGGTCCAAGAAAGAGTCTTGGTTGTTTGCTTACAGTTGTCATTTGTCCGGATACATCAAAGGCCCAAGCGTGCTAGATGTAGAATTTTTGTGGTTCCTTTGTACTCATCCCATCGCTATGCATGGAGGTATTTGGACAAAGAGTGATCAAACACATGACCGACTCTCTAAAGCAATTCTGGCAGAGCTCTTATCTTGCTGGAGGAATTCGATCTTGCCCCAACGATTTCTCCACCAAGAGATCCGAAGAAGCTTCCATGCAGAGTAATCACACACATGTCATACAGTATCGGGAGATTGCCGCATGGATCAAAGTATCGTTTTGAATGTTAAAGCTGCTCCAAATCGAACCAGCTCATGTTAATCTGCTAGCAACGATCGGGGGGTCGAACTGTTACATATGGAGCTGGTCTTGTGTTCACAAAGAGTGCCCACTGCCACGCTCGCCTTCGCTTTTGCAGGGCAGTTTCCATCCAGTCGGCTTGCAGGTTGGCGATGCTCGACCGCAGTGAGGATTCTGTTCCTTGACGTGGTTCAATGAACTTACCCAATTGGTTTCTTCTAATCATTCTGACAGTGAGATCTCAATGGACAACTTCTTTCGAACCATCAGGTAAACATGGGCTTCCCAGGTGTACTAGATTGTTGGCAAATTGATCAGGTGTGCCGGAGAAATGAGCATAGTTTGGGCAGAGATTCCTTTGCCAAGAAGTCCACAATCAAAATCACTGAGTAAGCACCCAACACCGTGTTGCGGATCATTCCATGGATCCTTCAACGGTTCCATCACCTACTTTATGGGGTCCTAGTTCCTTGCGCTTGACCGAGACCTGGTTGAGCTACACAAGAATGTATTTTTTATCTATCGGGATCTGAAAAAGGATTGTGGATGACCATCCCTAAGAACAAAATCCTAATGATTCAACGAGACATCACGGCCAATAGTGCTGGGGTTCCTCCCGCGGATCCGCTCTTTCCGCCCAAGGATTTGCCCATCACCGCCACGCCACTCTTTCCCGCTCTGCCCACGGGCTTCGTCGTGGACGGCTCTCCACGTGGACTGCCGCGGGCACCACGAGAGCTCTACGAAGCTGGTGAGGCGACGGGTCGGTTGGGCGCTGGAAGCGTAGCAACACCCCGAAGCCAGAAACATGCCACCAGAAACATGATGAAACCGTACTAAGAGACCGTTTGGGATCCCTGGCTTTGGTCCAAGCTACAGATGGTCCACCCCCGCAACGGAGTGGGATCAAGATTTCGGAGCCTGCGAGTTTGTAACGTCCTTCATGGAGGCAAGAAGACAGTAGCTCCTGGCATCAAGGGGGTGGTGTCAAGCCATAGCTCCTCAAGGCTACCATATCACTAAGGATCAAAAGTATAGATCAAAGGACTGTTTCATATTCTCAATTCAACCAAAAGCTCCTTGGGTTTGCAATTTTGTCTACAGGGCTTCAAAAAGATCCTGTCGCTTTGATGTGTACAGGTTTGCTCAATGGGCTGGAAGATCATTGCAGAGCCAAGGTTTTTCGTTCAATTTTGGATCGAACCGCCAGTTCTTTCTGAAATGCGATGATTTGTCGGACCGTTTCCCAACATCGAAGCTGGATTTGAGTTGTGGCTTGGAGGCCCCAACATACTCTTCACAACTCATGTCAGACTCCCATGGGGGTACAGTCAGGTTGACTGTATGTCGTCTCATAGCTTCATTCCTGCCAAGGTGAATCCAGCCAAGGCGGGACAGGGAGCTGTGGAATTGACGAAACTCCTGATCATACGATGATGGTACTCCACTGGGAGCTTCAAGAACTTTGCCAAAAGATACAGCCTAGCTGCTAGCCTTTGTTGGCTTTGAACTTGGATCCTTTGGTATTTGCTGTCGCTCCATTCACCCAATGATCCATCCTTCTGTCTCAGAGAGTGACACCGTGGTCAAGGTGTAAGAGTACCGAATTACCAGATGGCCTCCACCCTAGTAGCGATCTCCAACCTAGAAGCAAACTATATCACCAATGTCCACTTGAAGCTGCAAGTGAAGATTTCATTTAGAGTGCGCTCGACAAGCGGAGGGTGGCCCCACTGATCCCCAGCTTCAGCTCCACCGGGACGACCAAACAAACACAATTCCTTGCCTGAACACTTCCTGAATGCACGCTATTTGTTTTCCATTTTTTCAATCAACACCAACTAAAAACTCAGGAGAGGTGAAGAGCAAGGCTTGCAGATTGCAACCTGAGTATCTCAGGAATGTGTGAGGATCTCCAAGTGAAAAATGCAAAAAGAATTGGAAAAAAGAACTCTTGGGTCGGGAAGCTTGTTTGGTGCTCTTCGGGTGCTCTTCGGGCGGAGCAGGTCTACTTGAACCATGGCACCGATGAGGGCACGATCTTTGCTGGGCTGATGTATGCCGCTTATCCGTGGTACAAGGCCATGGGATGCAAGTTTCTACCCCAAACCATATCGGTGGCTCAGTAGCAAATCCCTTTGATGAGTTGTTCTTTTCACTGATGTTCACTGATGTTCACCGGTGCAGGAATGGAAGTCAGACAAGCAAGCCGGCCAGCTCGTAGATGGCACTGATCTAGCCAGAAGATCGAACAAACACTCTTTTTTGTATCGATGGATTGTATGGATGATGGATGTCACAGATCCGGTTGTGAAAGACCAGTCACCTCGTGTTTGTTTTGCCTTGGCAGTTTTCTGCTCCCTGGCTTGTTGAGTTTAGCGGCAGTTAGCGCCAACAGATTATGTTCCTAAAAATCTAGGAACCAAATTATTGAGTGCGAGCGCTTCTTCAAGGAAGCTCCCACCGCCGCCTTTAGGGTGGCGGGTAGAGCTTCCTTGAAGAAGCATGAGCTATCCCGCGTCCGTTTCGCTAGTAGCTTTTCCAGTACGTAATGGCTACTAGCTACTACCTTCTATCCGCGGCCTACCCCCTTAATTTAAGTACAAAATAAGAAGAAGAAGAAGAATATATATTTTTGTATATTTAATCTTTTATAACACGTTTTGACTTCGCGAAACGTTCGAAACTCAGTCGCATTGTCGCATTGTCCAGGCCCCGGAGGTCACCCATGCGGCCACCGATCAGATTATGCCGCAGCCCCGAAACGGTGCGGAGCGCTGCGAAGCGGTGCAAAGGAAAAATGGATCTTTAAGAAGATGGAGCAAGAATGGCCTTACTACTAGGAACAAGAAGCTACTAGGGGCACCTGGCATCAACGAACGGAGCATTCTTACTACTCTAAAGTTGGTTGCCTTGTGCTCTCTATTCCCAGTTAGAGCGGGTGTTTGCCCCGAGTTCACTGTGGATCTGGATGAATGTGTGGTGTCTTAGGCCACAGCTCGACATTCAATGCCGTATTTAATGCGGTTGGTCAAAGAACCCAGAACCCCCAGAGCCACGAGTCATGAACAAGTCATGAGCGTGCGAAAAGCTCCTAGTAGCGTCCTTTGCTCCTAGTAAGGCCAGGAGCCCCTGATAGCGTCCGATCGCTCCTACTAGCGATGCCCTTTGTTCCTAGTAGCGTCATTCTCTCAAATAGAAACAAACGGGCTTCGGTTCTTCTTTGGTTCCTCTTGGGCCTTGAAGTCCGAGGTCTTGGGCCTTAAACGCCTCGATTCTGGAGCTCTACCCGCCTGGAGAGCTCAGACCACGATTTCTTCAAGCTCAGAGCTTCTTGTTCCTAGTAGTAAAAATGCTCCTAGAAGCGATGCCAGGAGCCCCTAGTAGCATCCTTGCTCCTAGTACTAAGACCAGGAGCCCCTAGTAGCTTCTTGTTCTCTCGATGAAGTAATCGCAAGAAGAAAGAGCTCGGAGCTCATCCTGTTCCAACCTGAATTCATCTCCCAAAGAAGCAAGAGGCCCAAGGGCGGCCCAAGCCTTCATCAAACTCCTTTAGCTCGCAGGTACTGAGCATAGCAATGTCCTACGAAGTCTAACCATGCGGGAACAAGAACCGACATGTGCAGTTTGGGCCGCTCGAACACACAAAGCTTCTGGGCCTAAGATAGATAGATCTCAGCAGAGAGTCTCTCGATGAATCTTGAGAACAGCGCGATTTGGGGCCAACAATCTGACTGCATGACCCACATCAACGGACACTCAAGCCACATCTAGCAACTATTGATGAAGAGATTGATCATATTGCAATGTTTTCGTTTTAGGAGGACTCGCACTGGCATTTAACAGAGCACTGCTTTGGTGATATCACTTTTGTGTTTGCAGCTT